CAGGACGCAGGACACTCTTGAATTTTGCATTAAGCAAATCAAAAATTAACTCAAAGCCAGAGCAGCAGGAGAATAGAGCTAGGTCAGGCTTGGCTCAAGGCCAAAGCAAAAGCGAGAAGGTTGCCGGATGTCGCTGAAACATGACACTTCCGGTTTGTTCCTCTCAACTTTCGTGTATCCATATCTTGACTGACAAATTGAGTGATTGACTGATTGACTGATTGATGATCAGCACGCAAGCCCAATTGTCATAGCCCAAAAGGTGAAATTTTCGCAGTTATTAGGCTTTGATGTAGGTGAGCGTGGGCTTAATGCGCGGCAGGTCGCCGGTTCAAATTCAGCGGCAGCTTTTGATTTGATAGGAATAACAGTCGAAAGGTTTCTTGCTTCTCCATGCAATATGCTTGGAAATCATTTTCAGATATTTCATTAAAGACGATTTCCACAATTTTCGATAAATCCATTATTTTGGGTGGATTGAAGCAAGCTAAATTTAACTTTTTCACAGACGACAAACAGTTTAAGCTTAAACTGAAAAACAATTCTTAGCCCGAGCAACGCCGGGTTATGCATATAGCTAGTTTTAGCTATGCATATATGTATTGATACAACACGAAAGTTGGCCTCTGCAAGTTCACCCATACACATTGATATAGTACACAGCCACGCCCACTATCCGCAAGCCCAAAATCCAACTAATAAAACACATTTTTGTTGCCTCATTAAAATTGCAGTCAAGGCAAATGTGTCTCGTCCTGCCTCTCCCCCGGCCACCCCCTGAAAGATACGTGAACATTTCGTACTGCGGATGCAATAAACTGCAGAATTTATGTGCCTGCCCGCCTGACAATTGAATTAAATTTCCTATGCGTCTTCGAGGGGTGGAGGGGGGGGGGGAGGAGGGGCGGCTAGAACGTGGACATTACGGGGCGACTGTCTGCAGTAATAACTGGTAATTTTTGGCAAATGTTCAACCCAGCTTCTTCAGCCGACATCAAGGACATATTCCCAGCTCCTGCCACATAGCTCATCATATGCGAGTGTCCCTAAGAATTCACTCCATTTACCAGATGTTTCTGCTGGCCTTTCCCCCCTCTAACTCCCCTGGCTCGTGTCTGCTTCTAATATTTATGGCTTAATATGCATATGCACGCAGCTCTTTGGTCGCCAAAAATACTTAATAATACTTAAGAATTGCAAAATGCCTCTGGCTGCCATGGAATTTTGTCTCGAGCATTTTGCAATGAATTATTAAGACCTCTGTTGACATTGGTCCTCAGAAAGCGTATTGTAATTATTGCCATAGATATATATATATTTAGGCCAATCCATTAAAATCTGCTGTAAATGCGACACATTTGAAATTTCTCATTTACACAAATTACAATTATACAAAACACAAATTCAATGGAAAACATTAAACGTTGATGTGTATTGTAATTAATGCTGGAACATTTTATTGTTTCTCAACAAAAGATGTTACATTTTATTGCAACTTTATATAATAAAATTTGAAGTCTGCGCTGTTACGACATTCTAAGATAATTGATGAAGGTTACGAATTAAGGGCATGTAATTTACTTGGAATAAATGACGTTCAAATTCGCAAGGTCTTAGACTGACTAAGAATATTTAATTTAGACAGTGAAAAGAATTAATTATTGCTACTAAAAGCCCAAAAATAACACACTAAAATTATGAAAAATTTTAAATAAATCAATATTAAAAAAAATACTGATATTCAAAAATACTTCTTAAAAATGTTAATAAATTAATAATATATAAATATGGTGCACCTTAAAAACTTAATATTTAATAAATTCCCAATATTTATAAATAAAACAACTTCTAAAAAAATATTAATTAATGAGTCTCTTGCCTTGCCCAAGTTGAATTTGATTGACATTAAAGTTGCCTTGGCTTAAATGTAGATCAAATATTAAGGGCTACAGATATCAAGGACTGTATAATAATGTGTTTTTTTTTTAATTGATTGTGTTAAATTTATTTTTACTATGTTTTAAATTTTATTTTAATTTTTTTTAAATTTATTTAATTTTTAACGTATTTAACAATTATTTTTTTATATTTTTTTTTCTAAAACATACATTACTTTTAAGTTTTGTTTATATTTTTTAAACGTTTTTTTACTTGCTTTAAACATTTATTTTATTTATTTAGTTTGTAAAATTATTATTTTATTTATTTACTTATTTTATTTTAATTTAGCGTTATCATCATCTACTGCTCTATTCACAAAAAATATTTATTTTTTTATAATACCTCTTGATAAACTATTATGGCTACAGGGTATTGCGAGCGGGGAAACTAAAATGTAGGAAGCTTGTGATTTTTGGCAAACAATTTCCATTGAATTTACTGAATTTATCTCGAAAAAATGTTGCCAAAAACACAAAAGCGGACCGCCGCGGTGCGGTGCGGTGCGGGGGATGCGGTGTCTGTTGGGGGTGGGCCGTGTCCGTTGGCGGCAACGCCAAGCAGATATAATAGCTTTTGATTACAGTTTATGGATGTCGCCCTTAGCTGTGTTTTTTTTTTGGTTGTGTGTTTGCCCACGCCCCATGTTGGCCGCGAACAAAAAAAAACTTTGCTGTTTAGTGGGCGTGCGCCAAAGCGGCGTCGCTAACTGAACCAAAACTGAGCCAAAATAAAAAAAACTGATCACAGTCTAAACAGGCTAGTGTATATATATATAGAGTACAAGTAGTTGTACAGTGTGTGCTATAAATCGATGCACAGCAACTATTGAAACTGTTTCATTGCGCCGCAACCCAATTGACTTTTATGCAAATAAAATAATGTGATTGCTCTCGTTGCTGGTTGTAAAGAGAAAAACATTGATTTTTATTTACCGCTGTCTGAATTAAGTGCTACACACACACACACACACACAGACATAACAGGGGAAACTTTGTGAAGACTAGCGCCACATTTTCATAACGTAAGTGAATAGAAAATTGAATCAAATCTAATAATAAATGCTTTTATGCAGCCCTTAAGCACTCTGAAAAGATGACGACGATGTTGGCGACGCCGACAATGGGACGGATTGGTTGCTAGCAGCGGGGTACAACACTGTTTCAGGATGTACAAGGGGTGGTTAGAGGGTGGGGGAGGGGGCGGGGGAGGAGGGGAGTGAGAGCTCATTGGTGTCGCCTCGACATGCTCCAATAGCCATGCCGCATACAAGCGCAACATTTGCTTTGCCAATATGCATGCCAATCTCTGCATGCTTATGTATGCTTGTGTGTGCGTGTGTGTGTATGTATGTGTGTGTGTGTGTGTGTGTGTGAGTGCAGCATGCCCCATTTGGCTGTCAGATTGTTGTTGCCTTGTCTCAACAGTCAACAGTTAGTAAGAATGCGTCGCTTACGCTTTTTTTTGTTGTAAGCCCTGTACCCATTGAAAATGTGTAAAAAGGTAGGGTATACTTCCGTTGTGCTAATGAGAACGTAAAAAATATGATTCTTGAGCAGGACATATAAAGTCTGCCTATACACACGTATCGAACACTTGTATTTCATGCGTAGAAAATGCTTTCCATTTGCTTGCACGAAGTTAAGGGATCGAAACCCTGTAATGGAGTTTTGATCTTGATGCAGGGTATCGCCCAGTCGTGCACGCTCATCGAGTGCACTCATAGTTGTCTTTTTAATGCCGCATGTCTTTACATTTCAGTCAACGCCTTGGGGCGCCCGACTTCAATTTGGCTTTAAGCAACTTAAACGAGTTTCCATTTTGCCTCGGATTACAACGGTGCCTCAGTTGCCTGGCAGCCGCACTTAACTAGTTTGACTTGCAGTTCATTTAGTCTGGCATCTCAAATGCACACACAAACACACATCCGTGCACACCTGTCTCTCGACGCACACACCCTGGGAGATAGAGAGAGATGGAGAAGTTAACTCGATTCGAAATGTTTTTGTTATTCGTTATTCGTTTCTCATATCCTTGCTGCTGGAGTATGTGTTGTGCTGAGTGAGTGCTGCTAGTCAATTTCAATAATTCAACAACAGCAAAGCAACTGGAGCTCACAGTCAGTGCCAGAGCCAGAGCCGGAATCAGATGAAACAAAGCCATTTCCAAACCTGTCGTAAAATGGGCCATAAAATTGCCTCATGGCAATAGCTCAATTATAATTGTGTTTATAGTCTATCATATTATTATTTTTTTGAATGGTACACAGAGCGAAATAATGGATCTATAAGCAAGCAAAGCAAGGCAATATATTGAAAATCAAAAGGTCACGAGTTTACTAAAAAAATATCAAAATTTTATAGCTGATGCTATGAGAATTTCATAGAGGCGATATGTAGAAGTAATGCTAGAGAGAGCAAAAACAGTTAGAGGGCTTGTCGAGGGAGTGAAATATAAAATACAAGTGAGTAAAAGGAAGGTTGAGAGAGAAAGAGAGGGATGAAAGGCAAAAGTGAGATAGAGAGGGAGTCAAAGCGAGAAGCTCTTGATAGAGGAACTAAAGAAGAGAGAAAGAGAGCCAAATCCCGGGATGATAGAACTGAGTCCGAAAGATGGATATAGAGAGAGTGCGAGAGTGGGAGTAGGGAGAAGAAAAGAGCGATTAAGCGACAAAGAGAGGAAGCAAGAAATTCAAGAGAAATACATTTTTATTATATTAGAATTATATTATATTAGATTCTTGAGAATCGCATAGAAGAGCAACGTTTATATGCATAAGAAGACTTTAAGTCAAATATATGTTAGAAGTCGAGCATACTTCAATTTTTGAGAATCGCAAAGAAAGGCCATATACACATTCATAAGAAGAACTTAAAAATGCGCTGCTAAGATTTGTCACAAATGCTTCAATGCTTGAGAATCGCATAGAAGGGACAATCGCATAGAGGACCCACTCTTGTGTGCGTAAGAAAAAGGACCAAAGTTTTTAAGGCAAAAAACATCGTTACTTGATTAAACGAAATATTTTCTTGCTGTAATTTAAACAAAGTTCAACTAATGTAAAATCTTTAAAGTTCCACTTATTGATTAATGATAATCGCTTTGAAGAGCTTGCCATTTCATCTTTTATAACTGTCACTTCCAAAGTACTTGTACACAAATAATTCCATTTATTTTTTGCTATTTTCAGTTAAATCTCTTTTCGCTAAATTACTGAAAAGTCTATTAGATTGTTTGCAATCAACTTTGTCATGTTATTGGGAAAATATATCAGCGTGACCTTCCATCTCCCGCTCGACCTTCCCCAAAGCCATCCTCTCGGTTCCTTTATTCTGTTTTAAGTTCGTTCCTTTTTTTGTTATTTTTGTTTTATTGATGTGGACTGTTGGCATAATAAAACTTTTGAGACCACATAAATTGCGCAGCATTTTTTATTTACTTAGCATCGTTTATCAGTCAGGCAGTTGGAGAATGTTTCGCTTTGCACATGCTTAAATGCGGGCACTTGGAAAAGTTTATTTATTAGTTAGACTTTTGAAAATATAGTAGTATATATTTATATAGCCTTAAGCTTTAATATTTATATCCGGTTCCGCCTCGGCGTTTACGCAATTGTTGCCATTGCTTTCCCTTTTCCGTTTCTGCCCGAGGGAGGGTGGGGGGGGGGGGGGGAGGGAGACTTCCTCATTACTTCACTTGTGGCGTACGTAATTCAAGTGGCCCCAGATGGGCGCTTCGAGTGGGTCGGATGCGGGCCAGGACTTGGCTGAGTGTGAGCTGTGAATTGTGAATGCCTCAGTTTTGTCGCGCTATGTGTGTGTGTGTGTGCTTTTGCATAGCTGCATTCTTTTCACACTGTCCATCGTGTTGCGAGCTAAGATTTATGCGCCAGTTGCTGCTTCAGCTGTAATTTACAGCAGACGCTCGGCAAATTTATGTGCGCTGGCGCCTCCTAACACTTCAACAATTAAATATACTCAAATAAAATAAATATACACATTTATCGCAAGGACAATCGAAATCAATTTCACTACAATGCCAACTCGATGCAGATAAATCGTTTCACATTGGCGTTTTATAATAGAACCTTACGATAATAAATAGGCATCTACAGATGAGCCATAAGCGAGGCATAGAGCGGCGCGCGGCAACCAACTCACGTACCTCTTGATGCATATCTGGAGCTGGAATTACAGATTAATGTCGGTTGTTGTGCCTGGCAGCGACTCGCAACTGCAGCAAATCCAGGGACTCAGCAGTTGTGGCAACTTAGGAACAACTCAACTTTAGCTATTCTACACTTGCAGCAGCTAGAAACAAATACTCTAACTGGCAGTTGGTTGATTCACTGTGAGATATGGTAGGGGAAAGTTTTCTGCAGCAGCTCTTTAAAAAATCTAAAATCTTTTTTTCGCGCGAACCCTCATGCTGTGTGCTGCATCCCAACTCGACACGAGTGGCGAAGTATATAATCTAATACAAACTAAGAGTATAGACTAAGACTGTCTACTTGCCAAATAGCTAAGAGGAGGAGACTTTTTACGATGAAGAGAAGACTCTGAGCCGATTACTCTGTACTGCTTGTTGTAATAAGCTCAGAGGACTCGGAACACTTCATGCAAGTCAAAGTTGTACGATAACTTGTTAATTAGGTGGGAGCAGATAAGTTTAACTGACTAGTCAATCCAGAAGCGTCGATTTAGCCCGTAATTAACTTATAAATATATATTATACCAAGCTTAGTTATACGATTAATTAAGGAAGGAAGTTTAATCATCAAAAGTCTACTGTAGTATGTAGAATACGAGTTTAATTCCCGAACGGCAACAAGAAGAACCACAAGAGCAACAAGAATTGTTTCTGTAGCTATTTAATTCTATCTTGGAGAATGGAATATTCCGACGTCCAGACACATGCGGCATACTTAAGAATAGACCGTACCAAATATATAATACGTCATAGAGTCAACCATTTTACTGGAAATAACTACAGACCGAACACTCAAGAGTTTTATAGCATACTTTTATGGGCATCTCTTATTATACTAATTAATCCCATTCATTGAAAAAGTATAAACATCTATATATTTATATATATATATTCAAGGGACTTTCATTTTCGGCACCTCGAACATAATTTAAACTTGAGCTTAACTATCAAACTATAAAAGACTTGTGTTTTAATTCCAGCTCGGAACAAGGGCTTACATACTAGATAAGAAATATATAGAATAGTGTATACTGCGCAGATAGAGTATTGTGTGGTCTGCTATCAAATTTTTTTCCTTAGTATGCAGGTCTAGTTAAGATAACATATATAGAATAGTCCATTTGATAGAGTATTGTGTGTAGTTTACTTAACTATATGTGTAAGAAATATATGTTAAAAAATATTTTACATACATATACATATATCACATTATAGAAGGGAGAGCATTGTGTGGACTGATATCAATATATTTATTCGTTATTCCAGGGTATTTTAGCCAACTTATACAGCACATTCCATTAGATAGAGTATCATGTGGTCTGCTTAAAAAATACTCTTGTTTTCTTCGAAATTGAGCTCTTGAGTTCAACTTCAAAATCGACATTTGCACTAGTTGCTACGCCCGCCTGCGCCCCCTCTGCACACATAGACACGGGGCAGTGGGTTGAAAGTGGGCGTGGTCGAGAGACTAGCTTCATTTTTTGCTCCATTTGTGTTATGCTTTTTAGATATTCATATTTTGCCATTGATGATATTTTCACTACTTGCGTATGCATAACACGAACGTTACCCACACTCAGGCACACACACACACACACACGAATACAAATAGAGTATAGCTGTACGTAGTGCCTGGCTGTACCTTTTGGCGTATTAACTCTACCAGGCACACAGCCTGCCATCAAATGGGTGCGTATGTCTGTGTCTGTGTGTGCCTGTGTGTGTGCGTGTTAAATTTGCATATTTTTTGACTTAACACATCCTTCAAAAAATTGCGAAACGCGTTTGCGATAGCTTTGGCATTTCCTTGACGTCTTTCCGTTTTCCGCTTTTGCTCTCTACATATTTTTGCTGTCTATTTTTTTAAGCTTTCATCTCTTTCCCTTTCTCTTGTTTTTTTGTTATACCCTAAACCCGTTGAATATGTGTAAAAGGGGTATAAAAGTTGTTGCAACTGGCGAAGTGAGGCACCATAAAGTATATATATACTTGATCGGAACGACGAGCTGATCTATGAGCTATTGTTGTGCTTCTGGCGTTCATTTTGATTAACTATAAAAGCTGGAAACTGTAACTGAAATTTGATATACATATTATAGTAGGATGTCATTGGCTTGCATTCACAGAAGTACAGCAGGTCCCAGATTATGTTATGCATTAGTGTTAAGATGAGTCATCCTGTGACTAGATTTGATCAAGTAAAGAACAGAACGAATAGTAAAGACATACCCATACTTACTTAAATTAATTCATATACAAATAAATTTAACCATTCTCTCAAAATATTCTAGCACATAATACACCAAATGATTTAATAATTTTTATTATTATTTTATTTATTTTCGATTATTTTTATCTATTTTCCTCTATGTGCGCCTATATATCTAAAATTTTAAAAGCTAGAGACTTGGTATTTGAAAAATGTAGTACCCTTAAACATACGCAGAATGGGGTTTATTATTATTATTTTAACGATATTCCTTCCATTTTGATAATATCGATTGGTTTCTTAAACCCAACTCGAAAATGGTTAGCTCTTAACACGCCAAACCTGGTTCTCTCCTAGGCTCTCATATGTTAAATATATGTTAAGAATATTTCAGTGTATTCTTGTATGGTGGACATTTCGAATGCTTGTCGCAGCGCTGGTTACAGGGTATCTTTCAGTCGAGCACTGCCGACTAAAGCACTCATTCCACATGCTCTGCTTCTCTGCCTTTTTTGTTCAATACTTTAAAGCGCGCCCTTTGAAAACATTTCCCCATATTTGCTGTCGCACTCTCTCTCTCTCTCCCCTTTCTTTCTGTACGCATTTCTCTCTGTCTCTCTCCCACCCTCTCTCGGTCTCTTTTTTGCCGCGGTCAAATTGAATTGTTTGCATTTTCCACTGCTTATATTCACAATCGCATGCAAATTGGTTCACAGTTAAATTTAATGGATTAAACTGCCTTTTTAAATTTGCAGTTAGTCGCCGCTGCTGCTGCATTGGCTTCCGCTGCCGCTGCTGCTGCCGCTGCTGCTGCGACGTCGACTGCGGCCTGCTGGAGGCCTCGCCTTGGCGCTGCTCTTCAAGACAAGTGGCGCTAATCCTTGACTTTGCTGCTAATGCACGTCGTATGTCAAACACCAAAAACGTTTACAGCCCGCTTTCTGGCATCTGCCCCTATACCACGCCCCTGCCTGCCCCCCCCCCCAACCACCCACCGTTCCCCTCACACAAGCAACGCAATTTATATGCCTTGCGCTGCTGCTTGTTTGCTTTGGCAACGTCTTTGGCTGTCTCAGTCTCAGTCGCAGCCGCTGCCGCAGCCGCTGCTTGCCTCCGTCGCCGTCTCAGGCCCCGTCGCCGCTTTGTATGCTATGCATTTTTCTGCACTCTTGACTCGTAAGCGTGCACTTGGCCAGTCGGATGCCCTTCGCAGCTCCGCCCTGCCCGCCTATAGAGCTGCCCTTACAGCTGCGGCGTCAGCAGAAGCTCGTTTTCTGTGCGTTGTTTGTCTTAAGGGATATGTGCACCAGAGCTGTCTATGTGTGTGTGTGTGTGTGCTAGACTGTGTGAGCTTGTGTGTACTTGTGCGTGTTTGCCAGCACTCTGCCGCAGGCATTTTGATAAGAAAAACAAACAGCGCGCTTTAGTCACACAAGAGAACTGCTGCTTAGCTGAGGCACATACAAGCTTAAGTGTCATTTATGCGTTTTAATGTTGGGAATTTAATTTTCAAATTAACTTAAGAAGTTTTCCGTGGTTTTTTACTGAAGCTGTGTGTCCCTTACCCGCCTCCCCCGACCGCCTCCATCCAAAATCAAGAGTTGCTTTTGAAAAAATCTGCTCATTGAAATGCGCCAAATAAAAACTCAAGAGCCAACCACTTGAAATATTTAAGAAAAACAGAAATTGACATTAATATAAGTAGCTGAATTTTAGTTTATAAATGACAAGATGTTCAAAGAAGGTCACGAATGCATTTAAGTCGCTTAATTTGGATTTTAGGCATAGTTTTAATGTTACAGGAATTAAATCTTTCTTTTAGTTAGAATTATTTTCAGAGCCTTGGTTTTTGTATGAAATAAGATTATGAACGATGCAAAAGTTAAGAATTTAAGTACAGAAAACTCATTTAAGCTTAACAAAAAGATTATGAACGCTTGTTTCCATTGAAGAAAGATATAAATCTAAGTACAAAAAACTCCTAAATAAAATTTTGTGTTACGAAAACGTTGTTATACAGAATAAATAGGAAATTTGGTTTGAAGCTGATCGGATTGAGGTCATGTGGTCCTTATATTGTTGAAATGCTCTTGCCGCTGGTAAATAGATTCTGCTCGCTCGGATTCATGTTTTCCGTGCAATTCTCAACAGGTTAAAACTTCGTACAGGAGACAAGCTATTTGTTATTCTAGAGTCGATAGCAGAGTAAGCAAATAATAGAATCGGGAGGTTCTAAAATCTGTACAAACAAATTGTTTGTCTTAAGGTGTTTATGTATACCTTGCTGTTGGTTGGTTAATATTATAAACTTTCCAAACAAAAGATTTTGGATTCTAAAAAAGAACTGAGACTCAACTTGTTTTCGAAATAAAAAGAAAGTTTAAGAGCATTAATTTCCATTTCCATAGAATCATAATTCAAAGATTTTGTAATGCAAGAAATTGCATATCTGAATAAAAAAGGTTTTAGATCAATGGATAAATAAATTAAATAATATTTATTAAATATAAATTAAATATATATTATTCAGCTTAAGCCATGTCAGCTGCTTTTGGTTTGTTTTGTTTTCGGCCACGCCCACTGTATCAATTTGCAATTATGTT